AGCAGTTTCCTGTCCTCAATTTAAAAGTTGGGCGGACCCACTACGTCAAGGTGGCAACACCCCCACGTAACCATGACAACAAGAAACTTGATTTAAACTGATTACTGAAGCGTGCTAACCACTCTGTCAGACTTACTTATTCGCAGCCACTGCGCAGGCAGCAGCCTGCACACAGCATCTACTTTCCTTACCACCAAATCCACCACCAAGCCTCTTCACTCTGGTTACGACTTTGTTATTGGGAACTCCTAAGGCTTTGGCTACCATCACCTGAGGATCAAAAAAAAAAAAAAAAGATTTGTAGGCCTATGTGGTTTAAATTGAACCAGACTTTGGGCAAGCAACTTACATCCCAGGTGGGACAACCTTGAGTTGCAGTATAAACAATGTGTGGAATATTGATATTTGGATTTGATCAGATTATATATTTGTATCTATATTTTTTTATCAAATATTTAGAGATGAAAATCAATCACAGGAAAAGGGGGTAAATTTAATTCTTTGATTACACCATTGCATTCGAAACGTGTTTCAAGGAGTTATGAGTAAATGACTCAAAGCGATTTTGTGTACTTCTGTGGTGTGATCTCACTTGGAGTAACAGATTAAGTCATCAATTAGGGCTGAACGTCAGTTGGAGTTGCGGTCTCCTCCTTTAACTAGGGGAGAAGCCTCTGTTCTGAAACTCAACATGCAAGCATAAATCGTTTGTTCTGCTTTTGTGGGAATTTGGAATATTTGGATAGAACTGAAGGTCAAATATACAAATATTCCTCTATTTGAATTGACTCAGCCTTAAACAGCAAAACAGCAATCAAACTGTAAAACACTATGCTCCAACAAACCTCTTGGCAATGCACCTGAATCATTATGACGCCTCGCTCTCGTTTACATATGTGTTTTCATTGGTGGCTCGGCTCGATCGACAGTGTCCCACTTCACTGCTATAAAAAATGCACTTGTAAGCAAAGCATGACGTCACCATATGTCTCTTTGAATAGAATCTTTTCAAGATGTCTGTTGTGTATTATGAAGGCCCTGACACACCTACCTGTGTTGTCGTGAGCGCCTGTGTTGATGATATCACTTCCACTTCTCCTCCTTCTCCAGGGATGACCAGTGTGGTAAAAGTCTCCAAGTAGAAGTGTTCCTGGGCACCCAACCTCATCTCTCCCTCAAACATGTGATCCGAGCTCTCAAAGCCCTCCTGGACATTACCCTTCTTAAAGCACAGGTTGAAGGGTAGATAAGAGCCGTGCTGGATGGCTTCCTGTTGGTAGTGGGAAAGTTAAAAAATAATGAGCAGTTTGCCCTTGTGGCACCGTATCACAGAATGCAGAATATAATAGAAAAAAACCTAAGACAAAAAGAGGCACGATCGTAGCCTGCTTGTTACAGACATGCTTCCATTCCAGGTTTTAAAACCTAAAATTGTCTCTTTCTAAAGGGAAATCTCTAGCACCTTCTCAAAGATTTATTTTAATAAAATCTTATATGAAATCTTATATCACCAATCTTTATTTATAAAAAACAAGCCAAGCTTTTTACAGGGATTTTTAATAAAAATTGGCCCATCTTAATTTGTTGCTTTTTTACTTCCCATAAAACGAAAATGGCATAACACAACGCAAACCTGTGTCTACAGGTAAGAGTTCTAAGAACTAACCTCTATGGTAAGAATGGTCAGTAGTTCCTGGTATTCGACTTTGACAAGCTGAGCAGCCTTCTTTGCAATGGTCTGGTTGTCAGCCACGACAAAACCTATCAACTGACCCACATGCAGCACCTGCAACAGATAAATTACAAAGCTCTTCAATAGGATTAAAACAATTACGATAAAATTAATGCAGACATTTTAACAACACATGCATTTTATAACTATAAATGCCGCTTGGGACCGTAGTATGCCAACCTGACACCTCTCAATTAATTTGCATATCTGGTCAAAATGTTGCACAAGATGGACAATGAACAAGGAATGCTATTCCTACAGTCCAGTTGGATGGCTTGGGACTTGATTGTAGACTGGGTGAACTCATCAGAACATACCCTCATTCTACATAATGTCCCCTCAAAAATCAATAATAAAGAGTTGAAATTTACTTTTGAGTCTGTACAATAGGGTTGAAATATTGGAAAAATTAAAAGTTTAACACGCAGTGTAACTACAACCAATTCTTCCCATCATTTGAGTTTGTCCTTACATACAGTGAGATGAAAATTAAGGTTTGTGTTACTACTATGTAAATCTCTTTTGTAAGCGAGTGAGGCACTGAAGAGAACCAGTGGACTCGATATTTTGGACATTATGCGCTCTCCAAATATGAGAAGCTAATTTACTCCTCTTTTCGTCTCTAAAGCCAGACCACACCATAGACTTGTGTGTTACTCCTGATTACAGCCATTTTTCATTAGGACACGGCAACCATGTCTAAATGCTGACCTCTCCATCAGCAAACAGTGGGTCATCTTGTTCCAGCCTTACGCCAACAATATTACTTCCTGGCACATCGTTAATATCCACAAAGGCATGGACGCCTTTTACTGCTAGGGCTGCTGACGCATCAATAGATCTGCCAAAAACCAACAGATTGCCGCAAAATATCTTATTAATGTCGTGCTTCACAGCTTTCATTGAGGACGTTTATTATCAAATGTCTCCTTAGTAGGCACTCCATTTTTACACACAGCAAGTTCACGAAGCAGCAAACTGAAAACATACTGTTGAGATTGTGATGAATCAATGGGCGCATAGCCTTGTTTGCAGTTTCTGTATGTAACTATGCTTGAGAAAATACAGATAACCGGTCAAAAAAAAATTGAAGAAAAGGTTTTCAGACACTTTCATTTTTTATTCATGCCAAAAAGCCAATAATATTGTGTTTGAAAACTTACACTTGCGGTTCTTAGTACTTACAGTAGCTTTGCATGAGCTACCTTGCTGCACACCAAACCCAAGTAAAGCTCATCTGTTCATATAAAGGGAAAAATTATCCAGTTAACCTCTGACCATCAGTGTGAAATCTGTAAGGTCTGACAATAGCCATTTGTTGATTAAAATAGGAATTTAATTAAGAAAGCAGATTTTACAGAGGATCTTGTTACCAAAATATTAATGACAGGTGGAAAGGCCACATTGCACATCACCTTTTGCAGGTGTGATGTCATCGGCATACAAAGCCTCTCCTGTGACTTGCTTGAGGGCAGCCATATGGGTTAAAGGTCGCCCTACGGCATCAGAATCTGGTTGACCGGAGGGAACCTCCTGATATGCAAGCAGGTCAAAGATCACAAATTACAGGGAAAAGATGAAAGACAAAGATTAAGCGACATCGTAGTCCTATTAGTAAGGTAAATTGCCAGGAATTCAAACTGCGCTCAGTCGGAAACATAAGACAATGATTTCATAGCGTCGCTTAACCGTGCGAAATGTTTCGCTTGAACAGAAATTGTACTGAAACATAAACATATTTCTCAAGCGTTTGCTAAACCGTCTGTTCCAGCAAAATCTGGCTTCATGAAAAGTTTTTAAATGGCAGACAAAAGCAAAGAGACCGCGGCGGCGAATGCAAGAAATCTACACCAATTACAGCAGAAATGGATCATGCTTGCAACAAGCTGCATTGATAAAAGGTTTTTATTGAAGGGGCTCTTAAAGGGGGGAAGCTGAGGAACAAACGCAAGCTGGTGACTTGGGAACGAGTGAGGGGGTAAGTCAATACATGGCGCAAAATTCGTTCGAGATGGCCTTGACGCAGCCTACCAGTTATAGTCACTATACGCAGCGCCCCTGGTGCAGCGTCCACGCTATACCTCGAACAGTCACCGCACAGAACGGTAGACAGCGTCCTCCATGATCCTGCAACTCTGCGACCCAGCAGCGAAACTCACTAACTGATTGTGCGCACTCTAAGCACGCCGCAAGCGCCTAGACCTAGTGCTATACGCAACGCTGATTGGTCAACACAATGCTTAATAATTCATGACTTAGACTGGCATTCATGCTTACCCCTGTTTCGTCACAATAATTAAAGTTTGAACTCTGATTGGCGCAGGCCTATGCTTGTATTTGGCCAGAAGAGGCTATTGATTTTTGGTGCGACTTGTTACTTTCTGCACCACTGGGACCATTGTGATAGACGTTTCCCACACTTCCCAGTTTGCTTTTGAATTGCCTTGGTGTCTTTTGGTTTGGACCGGGAGAGCGAGCAATATGGATACGTTTGGGGTTACTTAACCCAAGCCAAATTCACGCCGGAATATAGCTGGCGTGAGTACTACAAAGTAAACAATTTCAATTTCTTTGTTAATACTGTGGCGGGCATCCACGGGCCTATCCTGAGTTGATGGGATCAAACCAAGCACTATTAGTGGCAGAGTCGATCTTCCCAACCTAAGGCTTTTCCCCAGACGAGAGACCACACAGAGCGACCTCAAGGCAAAGGGTGCGGGACCGTTTTGGAGGAAATATACCGCCGATTGTGACCGAGTGTTAATTAGTCTCTGTTAAATTACACAATGAACCTGTAAAGAAAGTAATCCTTGACAGAAGAACTGTCGGTACAGGACGTTTAATTTATTCAACAATAATCAACACAAATCAACAAATGAAATGTACAGCGAAGTGATTGGGAGATTGGTTTGGTTGCCTGTGTATTTACTTAATTGGATTGAGCACTAATTTAGCGTAGGGCCGCAGCAGCAATACGCCAATGCATCAACTATGCACCATGCGCATCAGCCATTCAATATGCATCAACCACACACAGCGCATCGACAAAGTCACACTGCGTCAGCAATGCACCACTGCATAAGCAACGCACTTCTGTGTAAACAATGCACACCGCTGTGTAAACCATGCACACTACATGCACTGCATCAACAATGCACACCGCGTCAGCAACGTACAACTTGGTACGAGCTTCACCTAACGTGCCGCGGCATGCGAGCCAGCGTCAGCAACGTACAGCTCTCACAACTTTGTACTTGCAACGCGTCAGCTACACACACTAGTCAGCCACGTACAGTCTATACAATCACGTACTTGCAACGTATCAGCACCACGCAACGCTTCGCACAGCGCTGACAATGCCTTAGCTCCGTACCGTACCAACTCACCAACTTCACTCTGCGAAGTCCAACACGCAACCACCTATAATGCAATCGCAGCGCTCGCTGCGGTAGCACGACCATGTGCACACAGAGCGCTACGCTATCCTAGCCAGCACACGTTACCAAGTCACTAGCCAATCAGGTACGTGCACTGCAACTCATTAATAAAATTAGACTAGCTCTAGTCCTATACACTTTCCGTCACAATACTTTGAAATCATTTCTTTATCCTCTTCGAGTAAAGCGTTCATTTATTATCAAGGGTGGGAAAAGAAAACCCTTTAGAAACTTCAAACAAAATAGATCAGTAATTCGGTTTAAGCTCAGTGCATACATCTGTATTATGATTCCTCTCATAAATCTTGTCTAGAAATCTTGTTTAGATAATGCCTTGTTCTACTTACCAAAGGAATGTATATGTGTTTTCAGATTGCACACGCATATTTCCATGTAACCTAGGCCTATTGTTTCCTCTCCTTCGTACCTTTAAATTTTCTCTTGAGCTCCCGTTTGTTTCAGTTTGCCGACCCAACACTTCGAAATATGCCCTCATTCTATTTACCCAAAAAATTTGAACCAGTCAGTATCAGTTTGGGTAACATTTTGATATTTTTTGTGAAACGTGCCTGAAGCATTTCTTTGGGGGATATTTATCCTCAATCATTTCAGAGACAAAAGAAATGCCAAAAGTCTTGCTGATTGAACGAATAAGTTCTTATTTTGATTTCTAATTGGATATTCTTCTGTTTCTGTGTTTTCAGATTTTGTGTGTGTTCATGTTTACTTATGCTGGCAAATAAATTCCAGAATACAGTGGCATACTATTAGAAGCTTTTGGACTTGAGCCATCTGTTTTGAAGTTGCCCTCCCTCTTTGCACCAGTGATGACTGCAACATCTCCAAATATTGGTTGCACATCTAGACAAGTATGCCAATTGTGCGTAACTACCCAAAGTATTACGGTAAGACTATTACCTGATACATCTGCACACCCCTAGCTGAGTTCTTACGGTACTGCTGATTGGCTGTTTTGTAGGAATCAGGGATGAAGGTACCACTCAGTCCAGGCTTGATATGGAGAAATCAATCCATAAAACAAATTATGTCATCACAAAAATTTCATACGTATCCCCCTCAAAAAGTTGAAACAGCAAGTGATGAACATGCATGAAAGCCACTTACACTTTCACAGACCCACGAGGCCAAAAGAATGATTCTTCATCGCTTTCTTCGTAGCATTCATAACGAGCATATTCGGATAAAACTTGCTGAGTTTGCTTGCCGGTTACAAGACAACCCATGAGATTTGTACAAGCTTATCAACCAAAACTTTGCCACACAATACCTCCAATTTACAGCTTTAAGCTTATTCCAGAACAGTACACGACCTATATCAGGTCGTTGCAAAATGTGGCCCACAAGAGAGATAGAAGGGGAACCCCATCCCCAAACCCCAATATGACACTGACCAATTTCAGCTTCAACTGTTCCAAGACGGCCAGGTAGAACTTAAAGAAGAAGCTGAGGGCGAGAGACTGACGGTAGGGTTCCATGCCACCTGGTGCCCCAGGAGGCAAAGGGAGATCCTCAGCCAGTAAAGGGCACATCGCCTCCACCAGTCCATTACTCCAGGTCCTGATCAAGAAAATATCAAAGGTCTAGATTGCAAAGGCCTCAGGTTTTACACGGAATGAAGAGATCCAGAATAAAGCATGCAAACAAGAGGTTAGGAGCAGATGAAAACCTCATAGACAAACCTGATGACTGTGGTGATGCTATCACTGGCCATCTGCTCTGAACAAAACGTTGAAACGTTGCTGAATTCGTCTATAGTGGAACTGTTTGACACACTATGGTTACAGTGCACAAGCAAAACAGGCACAGACTAACTGAATATTTATATTACTTTTTCACTCGTATTTGAAAGTGTTTTGCTTTTCAGGGAGACAGACCCTTTGGAAAGCTTTAAAAGGTATTGTTTTGTCGGTATTTTTAATATTTTGGAAACTATACAGCAAATATTAAACAAAAGAGCAACCGTGTAAAGACAACTATAACTAATTTGAATGCAAGATCTTAATTATGAACCGATTTAACTAGATCCTTCAGCGGTTAGGTTACAGATGGCATGTACATGCGAGTGGTAGGGCAGAGGTATAACCTTAATCAATGCCCTTATAACAGAAACCGGCCTAAATAAAGACAGCAATGTTTGGTAGACATTTGCCACGAAGTCCATTGGTACAGTGGTTGTATATTGTCGAATGGAGATAATTTTAATTTTGTGTTATGAAGTATTTCTGGTAATGACACCAATGGTTCCTCAAAAGTGCTCTAGGCACGAGCCTGAAGAAACCCATCGTAAGGAAACATTATGAAGCAGTTACAGTTTTAGAGTAGGGAGAAAAACCCTAGAGTAATATTCTGGGTAAAACCCACAGAGCCAGGAAGGGGCTAAAAACTCAATTCATATGCGGATCGAGCTGGCAATCGAACCCAGACGGCAGAAGTGGAAGACTAGGGAAGAATCACTACGCCAACCTGACTCCCCTCTCGTGAAGCAACTAGGCAACTTTATTGTTTTGAAGCTTTTGTGGGGCCTAACTTCTGTGATTAATGTGGACAAGGCTTTCAATTTTATATTTTGTTGGAAACATGAAAATTACCTGCCACTGATGCCAGTCATGGCCTTGGAAGCCAGTACTGATGTAGGAGCCATGCCACCAAATGCCAGTGTACAATCCTGTACTACATTGGTACCTGGCTTCATGAGCACCCTCATACCAGCGTTAACTATGGCTATATCGTCCTCACGACGTAAAGCCTGCTTGTAGCCGTAGAAATATTCATCCTGTGTAGGACACGTCACAGGCATTAACACTATCAATAATAGGAGGCTATTTATCTTTCAAAAAGTATATCCAAATCTATAAGAAAGGATTTTGAAATGAAATCTTTGTGTCCGATACACTTTAACATAATTTGACAGTGAAGGGTCAAAACTATTCTGGATTCAAGCACATGGCAATTTTTTTCCATCTTATGCACTTCCCTGTGAGAGGTGGGACTAGCCTTTGGTCACAGATCACGTGATCTGATTGCTTTTTCAAATGCTGCACATGACCCAACCGAGCACCCAGGCAGTCACTGAAGCCAGCCTGAAGCATCCCCTGTCCAATATCTTAGCATTTGTTTGCATACACAATCACCACTGCACATGGTTGTAAAGAAATACCCTCTCCCCTATTGTACTAGTGAATCAGGCCAGTGAATTTAGACCAACGAGATACTGTTTGGGATCAGCAGCGTGTCTGGAACTGTATTGCTGATGCCACAACAGGTACTTTATTGCCCTCTGTCTGACCTTGTTATTATTAGACCGGCCGGGCCTGGCAGCGCTAAGCTGAGACCACCTTTTCACCTGTTGAGACATGTGAGAGCGGTTTGGCGGGAAAAAATGAGAATGAAACACACATCCTGTGGTGCCTTTTGCCATCCGTTACGGTTGGCTTGTGTTGCCTTCAGAAAGAAGCGTGAAAATGGCATTTATGGGTCCAAAAAAGGTGCAAAGTGCCCCCCTCACCTCAATACGAGCCACGCTCCCGAAAAGGACCCCCAAATGCAACTACAGCCTGCCTGAGAGGGTTTTCATCGGATTTATTCAGAAAAAATTTGGAGAATGTAATTTACGAGTCCCTTTTTACTGCAAAATATGTGTGACCAAAGCATGTCCTGGGTGCCACATTGGTGGTTGTCGAAGAAATGTCTCATACCGAAGTGAAAATTATGCGTTGAGCAGGATAACATCCAATTCTCCTACACCACCATTTGATTAAGTATGACCTGTTCAACCCAAATGATTACTCAAGAGTGTTGTGTCCGAAGAAAATCCATTAACATCCATATTTCAAGTTCTATGCGAGCACCAAACAAAATTGGGTGATACTTCAATTAATTCTCAAACCAGTGACATCACAAAAATGCAGAGTGTTATTAAGTCAACTTTTGCAAGTCCAAGTCAGGTCACAAGTAAGTTTGCAAATCTGAGCCAAGTACCAAGTCATTTGGTCCAGTCACAAGTCATTTGATCACAGGTCAAGTCAAGGCTAGTCACAAGTCAGTTTAGTCGAAGCATAAGCAAGTCACAAGTCTTTTTATCCGAGCACAAGTCAAGTTGCGCTATGTGTGATTTCAAGCCAAAGCCTAGTCTTGGTCCCGAGACCTTCCACACTGTGACGTGACAGAGGGCGCTAGTCACTAGGCGCGGTGCAGAGATATAGATGGCGCTCTGCTCAGTAACAGAGGCAGATGTTAGGCGCGCATAGCTGTGTGTTAAGCAAGCGCGGCGCATAGGCTCTGCCTTGTGCATTGTGCGATAGGGCAGCGGAAGTCACTGCTTAGTCACGTGAGCGCGTGCGCGGGCGTGGTCAGAGCAGTGCGAAAGCTATAAAACGCGCGCGTAGGCTAGGACTAGTCGTCCTGATAAAGGGCTGATCCTGAGGTAAGGGTCGAGAATCCTGTGCAAGGGTTAAAGTCACCTAGCCTAGTGTGACTGTGCCTAAGTCCGAGTGGTGTGTGTGCTGTTGAGGGGCTCGGTAGGTTGAGGGGCTGATTGGTGGTGCGGTATAGTTCCTGATAGGAGCTTGCGGTCGATGCAAGGGTGGATTGCTATCTCGTGACGTGAGTTGAGTGTAGCGCAGCCCTGACAATAAGCCCCGTAGACTTGCTAAAGTCCCTTATTCGGCACTGGATGCCCACAGTTAATTGTGGTGTTCGCTGCTCTGGGCGAAGTCCAGTCACGTATAATCACGCAGTTTCCCCGTCAATAGCGCCCT